CACGGGCATTTTATTCTTTCTATGTTTAGGCAAGTTGATTGATATGTAATGTTGCCGTGGTCCCTAGCTCCTACATTGCAAGCTTCACTACTCATCTTTCCACTTCTTTTGCAGTCTGGTTACTAGTATATAAGCTTATTATCCTCGATCTTAAGTTCAGAAGCCAAATTTCAGCTATCCTTTTTAATAAGGCCCTACTTCTGTTCTATTGTACTTGGTGCAAGCTTTGGTGGAAAAAAGAATACTTGGTGCAAGCAGTTTCATGGCAACTGAGCTGAACTTTTGCTTTTGCTCTTATTTTGAATATGCAGCTACAAACCTATTCAAGATGCTTCTGAAGTACAGGCCCGAGGACAAGGCTGCAAAGAAGGAGCGCCTTGTTAAAAGAGCTCAAGCCGAGGCAGAAGGCAAAACTCCTGAAACCAAGAAACCTATTATTGTAAAGTATGGTCTTAAGCACATCACCTACCTTATCGAGCAGGTTTGTTTTAGTCTAACAAATCCTTTAGTCATATTTGGAGTTTAATTTTTCAAGAAAATGACTTTGCTATTAATGGCCTTGCAGAATAAAGCTCAGTTGGTGGTGATTGCACATGATGTTGACCCAATAGAATTGGTTGTCTGGCTCCCAGCATTGTGCAGAAAGATGGAAATTCCATATTGTATTGTGAAGGGAAAAGCACGTTTAGGATCGGTAAGCAACATCTGGTTTACATTCTATAAAGGAGCATAGTCAAGTTTACCCTCTTTAAAAGATTAGATACTGAGCATTGTGTTTGATTTCCAGATTGTGCATAAGAAAACTGCTTCAGCATTATGCTTGACAACTGTGAAGAATGAGGATAAAATGGAATTCAGTAGAATTTTGGAAGCAATTAAGGTAATCTTAAGTTCAAAGCGTGTTTAGCTTGGTTTAGCTGGTAATCATTACACTTGTATTTTCTTTTGATTTTATCTGATGCTCATTTTACTTTTCAGGCCAACTTCAATGATAAGTACGAGGAGAACAGAAAGAAATGGGGTGGTGGTGTTATGGGTTCCAAATCACAAGCCAGAACCAAGGCAAAAGAGAGAGTTCTTGCCAAGGAAGCTGCTCAGAGAATGAACTAGAGTTTTCTGGTTCGAAGCTAGACATCTTACGTTCTTTTATCTTTGCCTTCTTCCGCAGATTATATCTTTATGCAAGAAACTTTGAAACCATATCATTTTTTTGGACTAGATGCCTGTTTGAATTGGTTATGTATGACGATGAAATGAAAAAGGCTTTCATTAACTATGCTTGTTAGCTCTTGCGATGCTAATTCCTTCGTTCTCCCTCTTATTCGGCTCAAGCATCTTGTCATGTTAGTGTTATGATAGTGACCCTCGTACCTTACTTGATTACATTAGAATTTTATTTGACTAATACAAAGGAGGAAATTGCGGTTTCACAACGAATGTAGAAAGGTGAAAATCTTAGATTTTATATGGTCTGCTATGGTTTTCTAGTTGCCAAATTGTGGCATTTATACTAGAAGCTGTTGTAGTTTGTTTCGATTCATTCGCTGCGATTTTATTGTGCAGGTTTGTTATTATATAATAAATGAACATAATTAAGTTTAGACAACTTATAAAACTACTTGTTCTCTTTCTCTAGAAGTTATTAAGAAAGAGGTTGAATCAAGATTAAAAAAAAAGCTAGTGAAGAAGTGTAAGCACTAGCTGTTTACTTTCTTCTGTTCAGTTGCACTTAACTGTGACGTAGGATCTTGTTTCTCGTTGATCAATTTTTCTCCATTCTACTGAAAAGATTGGAATTTCTATAATAGCGTGACATCTATTACCCTCGCAATATCGTTGGACAACTTTTAACATAAAAACATATTTATATTAAGTTCGTATCTATTATCACGAAGTAATAGTGAGTGCAATAATAATTCTCACATATCAATTTAAAATTTTGAATTCACCTCTAAACAAATTACATGAAGAACACCGCAACTTCGTATCAGTCAAAGTGACAACAAAGAGAATTTCATTGCTCTCATCATCTCGTGTTCGTGAGGTGTTGTGTTAAGTTCTATAACGAAGGCAATTGCTCGTGTTTTGCTGTCATCGTTGTTGAGTTTGAAACTCTGAACAATGATAAGCCAGAGGAAGATGGCAATTACGTCAAGTCATCATGCCCGTTATGTACGCACCATGCAATTTAATTTGCTTCATTTTGTAGTTTGCTTTACTAAGGAGAATTTTTTAGTTCTCAATCAAGTAAGTTGTTAGGATATGAAAGATTGAAGAAGGGAATTTGCAGAATTTTCTCTGTCTTCTTTCATTCACTGTATAAATATTTATACATGTATTTATTGTAAAAAGAAACTGTAAAATAAAATTACTCTTACAGTTGTCTAATTTCTATTGCCTATGTCTATAGCTACGTTACTAAATTATTCTGTACAGTTGTCTAAATTTTATTGCTTGTAAATACAGCTGTGTAACCAAAAATATTCTCTACTATGCTCAGCATGTGCTCTTCTCGTGTAGGATCCAACGGCTCAAATTAGAAGTTCTTGAATGCTGAGATTCCTCCACGTGTCAACTCCATTAGTCAATAATAGAGACAACATAGTCTAATTCCAAACAAACCTAAGTCTCTTGTCTGAAGCCCTTCTTCTTCTTCTTCTTCTTCTTCTTCTTCTTCTTCTTCTTCTTCTTCTTCTTCTTCTTCTTCTTCTTCTTCTTCTTCTTTATTTCTTCATAGGTGACTCCGCCGACTCCATTTCTCTCTGATGAGAAGCCTACTCAACATCCCCCTCAAGTTGGGCGGTAAAGAAGTTACCCCCAACTTGCGAAGATCTAACTTGTGAGATGGCCCTGATAGGGTTTTGGTGAAAAGATCTGCTAGTTGTGAAGATAAGGGAACATAAGACAGAGTAATGAGACCGGAGAGAAACTGTTGTCGGACAAAGTGGCAGTCCAATTCTACGTGCTTCGTCCGCTCATGGAAAACAGGGTTGCGTGCTATGTGAATCGCCGATTTGCTATCACAGAGCATTGGGACTGGTAGTGAAGGTGGTACTGATAGATCTTCGAGCAAACGAGTGAGCCATGTCAACTCGGCGATGACTCGTCGCATAGATCGATATTCCGCCGCAGCTGAAGATAGAGAAACAAATGCCTGTTTCTTGGATTTCCAAGAGATGGGTGAACCACCAAGTGCAATGTAAAATCCGCTAACAGACCTACGAGTTTCAAGACAAGATGCCCAGTCTGCATCGCAAAAAGCAACCGATTTGAGGGACAGAGCAGTATTCAGAATGATCCCTTGTCCTGGATCAGAACGCAAGTAACGCAATACTCGAAGAGCTGCCATGAAATGGAAAGTTCTGGGGTTTTACATAAATTGGCTGAGCTTCAAAACTGTAAAAGACAGGTCGGGCCTTGTGTGTGTTAAGTAATTGAGCTTCCCAATGAGGTGACGATATATAGTCGGATTGAGGAGAAGTTCCCCTTCATCTACTCGTAGTTTTGAAGAAGGTTCAAGTGGAGAAGAAACATAAGAGTATTCAGGGATATCAAACTCTTTGATCAGGTCCAAGGTAAATTTTCTTTGACACGTAATTATCCCCTGTTTTTCCCTTAGTATTTCGATTCCTAGGAAGTAATGCAAATTTCCTAGGTCTTTTACCTTAAACTCTGTATAAAGAAATAATTTGACTGTTGAAATTTCATTTGAATCATCTCCACTAATAAGAATGTCATCGACATAGACGACCACAATAGAAACCAAACCTGCCTGTCTTTTAAAAAATAATGAATAGTCATTCATTGAAGAAAAATAACGTTTGAAACTTAGAGTACCAGCAAGCCGAGCATACCACTGCCGTGAAGCTTGCTTTAAACCATATAAAGACTTCCTTAGTAAACAAACATGGTTGGGACTGGGAGGAGATAAACCAGTTAGAAATATCATATAGACTTTCCCCTGTAAATCACAATGTAAGAATGCATTACTTACATCAAGTTGATAAATTGGCCAAGCTTTCTTAGCTGCCACTTCCAGTAAGCAACGTATGGTGGTCATTTTGACCACGGGAGAAAAAGTTTCAGTATAATCTATCCATTCTCTTTGTATGTCTCCCCTCACCACCAACCTGGCCTTTAGTCTCTCTATGCTTCCATCAGAATTGTGCTTCACCTTGTATACCCACTTACAAGGTAACACCCTTTTTCCATTTGGTAAGGGAACCACATCCCAAGTGTGATTTTTCTTTAAGGCCTTAATTTCTGAGTTCATGGCTCTTTTCCATCCAGGATGCATAGAGGCCTGAGAAAAACTAGTAGGTTCTAAGATTTCTGAAATAGATTGCATAACATGTTGATTGTGAGATGATAGGACTGCAAAAGAGTAGACACTGGGTTGTGCTGGTTCTGTAAGACAACTTGTAGTTAGGTTGGTAAGATGAATATTATTGCAGATGAAGTCATTCAGATATCTTTGCCATTTTGACTCTCTTGTTGATTTCCTAGGCTGAGGTGGTGTATCAATGTGTGGAGGTGTACTGGTGCTAGGAGAAAACTGGGTGTGAGGTGACTGATCTCTAGGTGAATAATAAATGTGAGGTGAATCAGAGTGAGGTGAATGAGTGCTAGGTGACTGAGTGCTGGGTGAAGAAGAAGTGTGAGGTGAATTGACCCTATTAGGAAGTGGTGAATGAGGTATGATTGGTTCAGGAATAGAAAAAGATTGTGATAGAGGGGAGGTATATGTATTATCTGGAGGTGGAGGAATTGGAAATGTAGGTTCTGAAGGTACATGGGTAGAAGAAAAAGGAAATTTGTCCTCATAAAAATGAATATCTCTGGAAACTACAATTTTCTTTGTGTCTATTTCCATTAACTTGTATCCCTTTTGTCCCAAAGGATAACCCAAAAATACACAAGCCTTAGCTCTAGGGTCAAATTTACTTCTCCCATTTGATAAAATAGACATATAACACAAACATTCAAAACTTTTGAGAGAATCATAAGAGGGTGATTGTTTGAACAAAATGGAAAAAAGGTGTCTTTCCTTTAAGAACCTTAGAAGGAAGTCGATTGATCAAATGAGTAGCAGTTAATAGGCACTCTCCCCAATAGGAAATAGGAACTTTTGATTGGAAAAGTAGAGCTCTTGCAATTTCCAAAAGATGTCCGTATTTCCTCTCAACAATCCCATTTTGTTGAGGGGTGTTTACACAAGATGTTTGGCGCAAAATTCCTTGAGAGGAAAGAAAAGCAGACTGTTGGGTTCCTTTACCTAGCTCAAAGGCATTGTCTGTCCTTAGCTTCTGTATTTTAACACAAACTACCTTTCTACCATAGTCGAAAAATACTTTAGTACATCAAAAGCATTACTCTTGCTGCTTAGAAGAAAGGTCCATGTCCCTCTGCTATAATCATCCACAATAGTTAAAAAATATCTGAAACCATTATAAGTTAGAACCTTATAAGGTCCCCATGTATCAACATAAATTAACTCAAATGCTCTTTTTGATTTGATTTAACTTAAAGGGAAAGAATTTCTAGTTTATTTGGTTTTAGGACAAATATCACAGAAACATTCAAAATTAGAAGGAATAGAAATAAAATTGAGATGTTTCATTGATGAAAAGGGCAAATACCCTAATCTGACATGCCAAAAATTTACATCAGAGATTGTACTTGTAGAAAAGGGAAAAGAAACTGAAACATGACTGAAAACATTCTGCTTTGAAGATGAAACTACATTTTCTTCATATCTATTTCTAGAACTAGCATAATTAGGCTCCAATAGGTATAGTCCCTCTTTTGCTTCACCAAAAACTTGAGCCCTCTTCATTAAAGGGGCCTGTAACATACATTGAGTAGAGTAGAATGAGATAATGCAATGAAATTGCAAACAAAACCTATTGACAGACATTAGATTATATCTGAAAGTAGGAACATACAATACATTTTCCAGAATATAATCAGAATGAATGGAAACTCTTCCTACATGAGTGACTGTTACTTTGAAAGAATTAGGTAGGTTGATGTCTAGAGGAATAGGAAGAGGTGATAAAGATATAAAATCACTTGAGTCAAAACACATATGTTCTGAAGCTCCTAAATCTATGATCCAGGTGCTTGAATTGTAAACTGAAAAACAAGAACCAGAATATTTGATAATTGTACCGGCCACAACATTTGCATTGATTTCTGAGTTTGAGCTTCCTGTATCTGTCACCTTAACTTGCTTAATGAGTTGTACCAACTGTGAGAATTGTTCCTTTGAAAGGTGTTGATTCATAACTTCATTAAAATTGCTGGTCAGATCATCTCCTTGGTCTCCTGAGAAAGCTCCATTACCTCTGATAGGTCCTTGACCTTGTTTTCCATTTATGAATTCAAACCCATCTGGAAACCCTATGATTCTGTAGCAATCTGCTACAGAGTGACCTATTTTCTTGTAGTAGGTACAAGAAATATTAGGGTTGAATTTTCCTTTCCTTGCCTTGGGAATTGATGTCCTTTGTGGTGGATTTTTAGATTTTTGAAAACCATTAGTAGATTTCTGAAACTGCCCAGGAAGTTTCTGCTTCCATTTCTTTGTGAAAAGTTCCCTTGATTTTGGAAATTGTTCTGATTTCCTACCATGAAGGATGAAATATCAGTTGAAATGAGGGGGGTTATCATATACCTCTTCCTGATTCTCATCTTGTAGAATCAAGGAGTAGGCATGGTTGATGTTGGGTAATGGATTCATCATGAGTATGGTTCCCCTAGCTTGACCATAGGCCTCGTTCAAGCGCATTAGAAATTGAATAAGTCTCTGATCCTCTTGTGATTTTTCCACCACTTTCTTACCTTCACAGATACAAGTGCAAGCGCACTTGATATTGTGTTGAGAGAATCCAACCCATCCCATAGACGTTTAAGCTTTGTGAAATAGGTCGCTATGTCACTTGTACCTTGAAGTAAACCAGCTAACTCTTTCTGCAGATGATACAATTTTGCTCCATTAGACTGCCCAAATCTGTGCTCCAGTCCAATCCAGAGTTCTCTTGCAGTTTTGGAGTATATAACACTGTCTCCAATGTCCTTAGACAGTGAGTTCAGCAACCATAATGTTACCATGTCATTGCATCTGCTCTATGGTTGATAATCTTTGGAAGTAATAGCAGGAGCTGGACATGTACCATCGATGAAGCCCAATTTGCTTTTTGCTGAAAGGGCTATCAACACAGATCTCTTCCATCCTTGGTACCCTCTCCCATCAAAGACTGCATAAGCTCACTCCAGGTGCATCTGATGAATGAAGAAAGTAGGGGTGATTAACATCAAGAGTCACTCCATTTCCAGTTGAAGTTTGAGGTGCAGGAATGAGAGGTGTTTCAGGTGCCATGGTGGAATAGAATGAAGAACACAGAAAATGAAAAACAAAGAAAAGTTGAAAAATGAATTCCCTTGGAATCGAGCTACTGCTCTGATACCATGAAAGAATGAAGAAGGGAATTTGCAGAATTTTCTATGTCTTCTTTCATTCATTGTACAGATATTTATATATGTATTTGTTGTAAAAAGAAACTGTAAAATAAAATTACTCTATACAATTGTCTAATTACTATTACCTATGTCTATAATTGTGTAACAAAATTATTCTTTATATTTGTCTAAATTTCATTGCTTGTAAATACAGTTGTGTAACAAAAAATATTCTCTACTATGCTCAACATGTGCTCTTCTCGTGTAGGATCCAACGACTCAGATTAGAAGTTTTTGAATGCTGAGATTCCTCCACGTGTCAAGTCCATTAGTCAATAATAGAGATAACATAGTCTAATTCCAAACAAACCTAAGTCTCTTGTCTGAAGCTGCTTCTTCTTCTTCTTCTTCTTCTTCTTCTTCTTCTTCTTCTTCTTCTTCTTCTTCTTCTTCTTCTTCTTCTTAGGTGACTCCGCCGACTCCATTTCTCTCCGATGAGAAGCCTACTCAACAGGATACTATAACTAGCAGTAAAAGAGGAGCAAGTATGCTTTAGGAATTATAGGTGCCAAATTGCCTTCTTAGGCAACCAAATTTCCTTATCCTTGACTTAGGCAACCAAATTTCCTTATCCTTGATTTTCTCCATAATTTTTCACTCTTATGTTTGAAGAAAGAATGCAAGGACCAAAAGGGGTTTGTTTGTATAAATGAAAGTAAGTTCAACTTGTCATAAAGAACAAATATTACTTTAGTTTTAGGGGTGTGGTGAAGACAAAAAACTGAAAAGAGTAGACCTGCACCAACATAACATAACTTTAAAATAAAATTTATTAAGCAATTGCCATTGTTTAGAAAAACAACGGAAAAAAATGTCAAATTTGTCTATATACTATTCGAAGTTAAATAACTTTGTATTCAGTGTGAACTTGGGCCTAATTTTACCCCATCGTTATGATCTCGTGTTTTGCCCTAAACCCCTAACGGAACCTAACCTATTGATAATTCTAAACATTAGTCAAAAGTTAAAGGATAAATATGAAATTTATTTCTCGAGTAAATTTGGACATTCCCCC